GTAGGGAGTTAGTTCATTGAAAAGAACGTTGGCATCTACTATTAAGGAGTTTCGTAAAGAACTGAGAACTTTACTTGTGTTCGATCTGCGCTTGCTAAAGGTGAGGATGGATGCGGGGCACGCAGGCAGGCACGTATGAGGAGGCCTATTCCTAGCTTGGTTGGGCAAATTGGCGGCCCATCATAGACGTGAGCATTGTTCTAGTAGCTTCAGGGTTTATATGAGGGGTTTCTACCCTCCTCGTCGCCAATTTTGATCAAAGAAAAAGACACCTTGGATTTTTTTATTTCACAGAAAAGCAAACAGCCGAAAAGTACCAAGCAACAAACGAGAGCCAGAAGAGAATCACGCACACACACACACACAGAGAGAGAGAGAGAGAGAGAGAGAGAGAGAGAGAGAGAGAGAGAGAGAGAGAGAGAGAGAGAGGTGCCTATGGGTCATGGTGTCAGGGTAGAGCTTTTGGGGGGGGGCGCGGGGAAGGGAGAGGGCTTGGGTGGGGGAGGAGGGGCTGAGGGAAGGGGAAAAAGGCTGGGAGAAGGGGAAGGAGAAGGGGAAGGGGGAGGGAGAAGCGGGAGAGGGAAGGGGGGGGTCGTGGGGGAAGGCTGACGACGGGGAGTGTTGGAGAATTGTGGAATGTCGATATGTTTCTCTCCTTCATTTTAAATTTCGTTTTCGGATTCGATGTGCAATGTCAAGAAATTAGCAGAAAAAGGTAAAAGACTTGAAGAGAGGGAATATGCCCCTCATTGCCAAAAAACTCCTGGTTCAAGTGCATCTCGATATCTCGCGCAAACGTCGATGATGGTGGGACTGTAGCTGTGCAGTGGATGATCTCTGCTACCTGTTGGTTGGTTTGACGACACGTGTACACCGAAAGGAGGAGCTAATTGATTCGGTACATCGGCATGGGCGGACACACGGGACCAACCTCGCACACCGACTTTTTTTCTTTTTTCTTTTTTTTTCGGTGAATTGAACTCTCAATGGCTGTTTTTCTAAGAGAAGAGAGATCTCCATAGCGTTTTTTTTTTTCAAAAGACGAAGAGACGTCTCCATATTTATTTTTAAAGGGCGACGGGCTTGAGATATCATCATCATTTAACTGACCGCCCGCAGGAAATTCAGAATGATTTTATGCTGGTCATCTGATTGTATCTGGATTCGAACTTGGCTCTGATTCGTGTTTCAACAGTTCATGGCTGTACCAACTGAGCTAGTAGGCCAGTTTGTAGAGTCCTCTCTTTTTGTTAGCTCCTTGTGGGAGAAGAGAGACAGGTCGGTGAGAATGGTGAACGTTGTTAATTCCCTTGTTTATTCTTCTCCTTCTCCTTCTTCTCCTCCTTTTTTTTTTTTTTTTCATTCTTCTCCTTCTTCTCCTTCTCCTTCTTCTTCTTTTTTTTTTTTTTTTTTGTGGTTCATTCCTATTCATATAGGTGATCTATAGCTCCAATTCTGATTCGTATAGGCGGTATAGCCCCAAGTCTGACTCTGCCGTCGTAAAGTGGCGTTTGCAGCTGAGAGATGTATTTTGTTTCAATAGTTAAAATTGGAATTGGAAGGACACAGAGAAAGAAGCACAGCTTTATAAATGTTGCTCCTCCAAAAAAACAACAGCAACAAAAAAAAAAAAACAGAACACGCAAGAATAAAAGAATAACCCGCATAAATCGAGAAGTGGTCCCGAAAACAAAAAAAAAGGAACAATAAAAAGAGTTTCATCAGTTCGATATCTTCTTCTTCTTCTTCTTCGTCTTCTTCTTCTTCTTCTTCGTCTTCTTCTTCTTCTTCT